TCTGGACTGCAGGCCGACGCTCTAACTGCTGAGCAAACCGGCCAGGGCAAAATTCTCCAATTCTTTATTCAACCATGTTGAGTCTACTGATGAACCTATACAAGGAGTTATTCTTTATGTTACAGTGTCTTTGATTTCTTGCATTTTCATTTGATTTCTTTCTTAGAACCCTTCCTATCAACTTATATTACCACCTGTTCTTGCAAGTTGTCTATTTTTTCTTATTAAAGCTCTAAATATATTAATCATACTTATTTCCTGACCTTTATCTGATCATTCCAACATCTGATTGTGATGATAGCTTTGTCATTCAGACTTTGTTTCTTCTTGCCTTTAACATGTTTTATAATGTTTTGTTGAAAGCCAGATATGTTATATAGGGTAATAGATACTGAAGTAAATAGACTTTTAGTGTAAGAATTTATGTTAATGTAGCTAAAAGTTGGGGTGTTTTAATATTTGTCACAGATGTGGGCCCCAGAGGCTTCATATTACTCTAGGGGGCTTAGTTTTTCCTCCATTCTCGTGGCTTTCTTTTCTTCTGATCCTTAGAGAGTCTTTGTCTCTTTTAGTTTAATCCACTATTATTATCACTGGAGGCTCCTTCATGGTGATAGGGTGAGCGAGTTGGGTAAGGAGGGGAGGTTGTTCCATTATCTTCTGAGATTCTACTTAGGTCTCAGGCTTTTGTAAGCCTGTGCCTTGGGGTGGGGTTAAACTTTCAGAAGCTTTAGTCCCTTCTGCTCAACCACTTTTTTTTATTTTTTTTTATCCTCACCCGAGGATATTTTTCCATTTTTTGTTCAGATAGAGTGGGAGGGAGAGAGCGAGAGAAACATCGACGTGAAGGGACACATCGAGTGGCTGCCACCCGCACGACCAACCAGGGCCGGGGACAAACTGCAACCGAGGTACGTGCCCTTAGCGGGAACCGAACCCGGGTCTCTCCGGACCGCAGGCCGACGCTCTAATCGCTGAGCCAAACTGGCGAGGGCTGCTCAACCACTTTTAGTCTGTTTTCTTGAAATCCTCTCCTTGTCGACTATCGTTTGCTTGCTTATTTATTTATTTATCACTTTACATGAGACAGGAGGCCTGGAAGGACTGGCGTTCCCTGGATGCACCTGGCCAGCCTCTAGTGGGTCAGAAACAGGCTCTAATGCTGTCTGTCTAGATCTGCCTCGTCGTAAGGATGGGGATGATAGCACCCAAGGTCTTCCATGTGATTGGCCTCAATCAAACAAACTTCCGTCCCTCCCAAAGAGGCAGGTGTGTGATATGTCTGCATCCGCATGGGCCCCAGGCCAGCAGCATCAAGACAACTGGGCAGCGGAGTAGGGACATGGAAGCAGGATGCACTGTTCATTCTGTTTTAATGCATCTTTTCCTTGTTGAGGTAAGTATAATTGTATACTTTTAAAGAAGACATTAATAGAGAACATTTAGGAGAATAAAAGAGTGAGAGCAGCATTGTTTGCAACAGCAAAATGGGAATACTTGAATATGCATCGACGGGAGAGTGCTTAAATTAACTGCTACCTGTAGGCGGCTGCTGAGCTCTCTACGAGATGGAGAAGCTGCGGGCTGCTGGTGCCTGCTCCGAGGATATCTATAGTTCTCTGTGCAGTAAAAAAGACGGAAGTTCATGCATGTTTGTGTCATGGTATAGACAGGGTCTGGGGACACCCAGTGTTCAGGAAGGACGGGGATAGCAGTTCAGCACCTGGGTTTGGATTCGCTGTACTAAGTGAAAATTAATTTTATAATAAAAATAACAGAGGGTAAAGAAGGAAGGAAAGAAACTCACTTTTCATTGTTTTTCCTTCCGTGCCTTTTGATTTTTGTATCCCCGTTCCACTAACTATATAAAGTAAGAAACCAGGTAAGGTAAGCAGCGCCCCTGACGTAGCTCATGGTCTCTTCTCCAGCCTATGCTGGCCCTGCCCTTTTTGGGCATCTCCCCACTGCTTTCTTCCCAGCCCTCCTGGCCCACCCCCCTCTCCTGCCCCCAAGCACAACCCGACTGCAGAGCACAGGCCTCCCCCATTGTTAGATGAGGCTGGAGGCTGCCTGGCTCCCTCCCAGCATCTCCCAGCTCCCAGCGCCATCGTGAAAGGTTGGAAGGCACAGCACACAGGCTCCAGGTTGAACCCCAGCCCCAAAATACTACTATGTGACTCGGGTAGTCATCTGGGCTCTCTGGGACAGCTGTGAGCTGGGGATAACAGGACCTACTTTGTAGGATGTACTTTGCATGGTACAAAACTTCACACTTGCTGTAACCTCGACAGCCATGTGTGAATGAGAGGGTTAGAAAAGACCAGAGTTCTTCCACTTCCAGAACTAGACCAGGTGCCTGTCCCAGGAACGGCTCCACAGTTCCCTTTTCTCTTCAGTGGGTCACCTTAGGATGTCCTTAGGGCTTGCAGATCCCAGTCAGACTAGCGTTGCCTGCACCTCTCTTGCAGGGGACAGCATTTTAGGGGTGGGGTGTGAAGAGAGAGATGGACTGGGGAAACTTGGACCCAGTGGACACAAGAGAAAGGTCACATTTTCCTCCTCCATTCTCCCAGCAAGGTGCCCAGCAGGCTAATGCTAGAACCTCCTCTCAGGTTGTTGAGAACGAGAATCTCTATGGTGCCAGGGTTGTCTAAGATGCTCCCCAGATTGAGAGACACTGGGCCAGCGGTTCTTTTCAGGTAGGCACAGGCCTAGTTTCCAATTTCCGCTGCCCTATATGGGTCCCTGCATAGCAAGGCATATGCCCCTCCTGATCATGCCTGGACCACCCAGTGCTTTTGGCCAGTGGGTCCCCCATCACCACCAGTCAGTGTCTCCTCAAGGAGACACTCCATTAGAACTTCTGCCAAGTAAGACCTTAAATGCTGCTCTCCAGACACAAGGCTCACAGTCAATAAGAAGTCAGAAAACCATGTGCAACCTTTTGATATTTCATTCTTTCAAGAAGTATTTACAGAAAACCTGCTTTGCTCAGGGGCAGTACAAAGTGACAGGGCTATGATTGGGCAGCGTCCCTTGTCCCTGGGGTTTTAAGCCCGATCGCAGGGAAGCACGAGGCTGGTGCCCAGAGGCTGCTCAGACATCTCTGCCCTTGAAGAAAGGAGGACTGGAGGCATTTACTGCAGGAGCTTAGCGAGAGAAGTTCTGGGCCTGGCGAAGAGCCGGGCCTTCCGAGCCAGGGTTTGCGATTCAAACCCCATCAGCCCCAGTCACTAGCCAAGTGCGTGCAGGAGCAGGTCACATCATCATTCCACCCTTGGCGTCCGTGTCTGGCAGTGAGGACAACTGCGCTCAGGCTGACAGAGGGGAGGTGGACGACTGACTCCATGCGCACCTTGCTGCAGCCAGGCTCACTGACGCGCTGGGGTCATCTGTGGCAGGCCAAGGAGGGTCCAGTGTGCCTTCCCAGGGAGGCTGGCCCTGACTCTCCCGTGTCCAGGTCCAAGGCTACTCAGGAGCCTTGAGCCTACAACGTGCTGCCTGCGTCCTGCGCACCACCGGCTCGGCAAGCAGCTGCTACTGAGCATCACGGAGCATTTTCTCACCTGGAACCAAGCCTCAGACGATCAGGAAAGGAACCGCTTGCCGTCAGCTGTCAGAGTGCATCCCTCAGAGTGGGATCCACCTCCATGCCTCCCCTATCTGTACTGACCTTCCCTGGAGAAACAACGTCATAGGCTGCCTGTGACATCATGTCCGCTGCAGCGTGCGGGGCAGGTGGGGTCTAATCACAGAGAGCCTGTCAGGCAGCCGGTCATGCCCCAGCACTGGCAGAGTGGATGCCTCCCCTTCCTCAGGACCAAGTCTCCTTTCCCTCCACTACTCTGAATGTTTGCTGCGTGCATGTGTTGTGGCTTTTGGGAGGGGGATGAGAGAGGCCCAGCCCGTTGAAAGGTACGTGTCCCTGAAGGGGAGGGGAGGATGCTAACGATGCAGAGGGCGCAACTGAGAGCGGCGTGGAGTGAGCAGCTCCTCCCGAACGTCTCGCTGTCCCCGGCTCTCACTGGAGGGTGCAAGTTGGGGGAAATTACTGTTTTCATGGGACAATTTTTGACAGAGAATTCACCAACACCTGCTGGCCAGGGGCGGGTGGCCGGTTGCACAGTAACACACGGCGTCTGTCTGTTCAAAGCTCTTGCTGAGATGGAGCTGGTCCTGCTGCTTATTCCCACGGAGTAGCCCCTTCAGGCTCCCAGCACATCATGGCTGCTGGTTCTGGGGGCAGAAAGCAGGCTGGGGAGGGGCCAGCGGGCACTCCTAAGCTTGTCTGCGTCCCGCATCTTGCCTGTCACTGACTTTCAGGGTCCCGCCCGAGGCTTGAACCTCATATTCACCCATTTATTATTCTCAACCCTTATGCAGACTTATCGACCCTCCACCTCCCGTTCACAGTGCGGACGTCTCCTTCCCACCAGTTCCAGCCTGGGCTCCTCTCTGGCAGGCTGCGTAAGGAGCAGCCAGGTGTAGCCTCTTCACAGCCAACTCTGGGACCAGACTCTTCACTTGTGGGAAATCAACGAGGCGCATTTGGAGAGTGCTGGCAGCGTCCAGCTGCCCTTGGCCTCAGGCTGAGCTCCTGAGCTCTGCCCCGCGTGCCCCAGTCCTCCCCCGTCTCCCCACACCCTCTTCATATCAAGGACAAAAGATGGAGATTTGGGTCTTAGGTTCTCCTGAATGTGGCCACAAAGCTGCAGCTTCTGGAGCTCCCCCTGGCTGGCCTGGGGGCCCCTACTTCTGGCAGGTCTCAGAGGAGGCCTCTGTGGGCCAGGAATCGGCAGCAGCTTCTGGGGCATTTGCAGGGGGAACGCTCTCACACTGGCTGTTAGAAGTGAGGCTTGTGATTCCTGACAGGTGGCCCCAGGGGCTCAGCCAGGCAGCAGGGCCAAGGGGCACGACAAGTCTTGCTGAACCCTGTGTGCCACCCACTCCCTGGCCCTCAAGCTGAGCTTCAGGGACTGCTCCTCCACAGAGGCACGGCCCTAGGCATCCAGCCTGGTGGGCTCCACTCTGAGCCGGCTTATGTCCAGGACAAGGGCTGAGCACTTCTGATCCTGCGGGCTGTGGAGTGGGCTGGTCAAGGAGGGCAGGCCACCGACAGCAGCCACTCCAGGGAAGCTGATAGGCTGTTTCTGCTGCAGCACGATAGTGTCCCTGGCCTGAGGCTGCCTGCAGAGCTGGCTGCCTGTGTCCTGCCTTGGAGGCTGCACAGCGCGGGGCTTGCAGTCTGGGTGGATCTGCAGAGCTGCAACCTGGGCCACTCTGTCTTTCAGGGCAGGCTCTGCATCCAGGGTGCTTTCCCTAAACCCTGGCTTCCACTGATCTCGGAAACACCCCTCCTTTCCAGGTGCTCTGAACTCCTGGGAGTGAGGCCAGGCAAAGGGGTTTATGACCTTGTTTTTGCTGGAAGTATCTGTCACGATGGAGGCTGCAGACCCCGAAGGGGAGAACGGACCTTCGTGGCAACCTCGTGTCCCTTCTTCCCCAGAGACCTGCGCGCACGTCAGAGACGGGCTCCTGGACAGAGGGCTGGTCCCCTGCTCAGCCTCTGTGAGGACCTCACTCTCTCTAGCAAGCAGGCCCTTGGTACTGGAATGTGCCCACAGGTGCTGCCGGCTAGGTCTCGAGCCGACTGCGGTCCCGACTGCGGTCCCGCCTGCGTCAGAGGCCTGGGCCCCCCTGCCGTCTCGTGTCAGCAGACCTGGGCCTTGCTTCTCAGCACCAGCTGCCAGCTTCCCCACCAGTCCACCGAGCGGGGTCTCGGGCTCTGCGGGGGCTGAGACGGGCAGGGCGCGGAGCTCGGGGCTCCGGCGGAGCCAGTTGACGACGCCCATGGTGACCGCGAGCTCGGTGTCGCAGAGCTTCAGCAGGCACTCCTTGCCCTTCCAGGAGCTCTGCGAGAAGCCCTGGCTGAGCAGGTCCGGGCCGGGCCCGGGGGCCAGGTTCTCCTCTGCCCCCATGTGGAAGCTGCACATGGACAGCGGGGCTCCCAGTGCTGGCTCCGACAGGCTCTCCGACACGCACAGGTCGTCGTCCGGGCTCGGGCCGGCCGGGCCCTCACTGGGGTCATAGAAAAGCTCGTAGAGGGCATCCCCGCTATAGCTCTCCCGGGGGAAGGAGGCAGCGGGGGTCCCCGGGCTCAGGGCTTCCTTCCTGTCCTCCTCAAGGCTGGGTGAAAAGGCATCACAGTAGCCCTCGTCGCTCGTGGACACAGACTCTGGCTGCTCGCTCTTGGGGGTGCCTGTGTCTATGGAGCTGGCTTTGGAGCCACTGAGGAGGTCCTTGCAGGGGCACAGAGGGAGCTCAGTGAGCCCAGCTGAGTCCTGCCTGGGCTGGGCGGTGTCCGCTCCCTGAGGCCTTTCCAGCCACGAGCCCAGTAGAGCGCTCTGTTGTTGCCTCACAGAATGATTCACACTGTCCCAGAACTTGGCGAAGTCAGACAGGTCATTTTGGGCAGGTGACACCAGCTTCTCCATGCTTCCCTGGAAGGGGCCACTGGACACCTTGCTCTTGAGGGCCTGCGGCGACAGGGCTGAGCTCTCCGGGCCCTCGTTCAGCTCCAGAGCTGGCACCGAGCTTTCGTCCGCAAAGATCTCCCCGCAGCCCGTGAGTGAGTCGAAGCTCTGGAGTGAAGCCACGTCCTCGCACAGAACCCTGCAGAAGTCGGGAGAGCAGTCGGGCAGGAGCTCGCTGTCAGACAGGTCCTGGCACAAGCCATCCAGGCCCCAGCCCTCGCCCCAGGAGAAGAAAGCTTGGCCTCGCTGCCCTCCAGCCTCTGATGGGCTCCTGGGGGAGGAGAGGCTCTTGCCCTTGGTTGCCAGTGAAGCCAAGTTCTCAGTCTTGTTTCTGCGAATGTGGAATAGGTTCCGAAAGCACTTCTTGGGTCTTTTCAGGGAAATCCTCTTCCTTGGGATGCTCTTAGCCACAGCTGGCACGAAAGGCATTTGGGGCACAAAGTGGCGGTAATCGATTATGCGCTGGCCTCCAGAGGGCCCTGGGAACTTTTCACTGCCCATCAATTGCCCTGGGGCGGCAACCACCCTGCCAGCCCCAGGCACACCGTTGTGGGTCTTGCTCTTCCAAACCAGTTTGAGAGGGGCACCACAGAGGTCTGTGGCGCCACCCTCAGGGTCTGGCTGTGCTCCCTTTTTGGAGCATCTGTTATATCCGTGGGTGTTGGGACTCATTTGGGGTCCTTTCTCACCATGGACCTGTTGCTGCTCTCCTGGCGAGACTGACCAGGGGCTTGCGTCGTCCCTGGCTGGAGCAGCTGCTGCTGGGCCTGGGGATTTCTGGGAAATGTGCAGGCTGGATTTGATGAAAGTCTTTCCTCTCTTCAACTCCATGCTCCCAGGGCCTTTAGCTTCTGTAGGGGAAAGCGGGAGGCATTAGTATCCATGGTTCTAGCCCAGCCTGTTCACACAGTGCTGTTGGAGCCGACCTCTATCAGCTCAGCCTGGACACGCTCTGGAGGTGGTGGAGAGGGAGAGGGCAGCAGCCATGCTCACTGCCTAGCCTTTATAAACAGCTCATGCTAAGAGAAGTTAAGGCACATGATTAAAGGCAACAGTAGGGCCCAAAAGGAGAGCAGAAGGGTCTGATGCTCTTACACCTGTGATCTCTTGACTCCCCAAGCACCCTCTCAGAGCTTGTCTGGCCAAGTAAGACTCCCATTCCCAGACCCAGGCGCTCTACACACAGCACCACGTCCTCGTGGAGAAATGTCCTGGTCCTCGTAAGTGGATGGAGCAGAGGATTAAAGACAGAAGTTACCTCCTTCATCTAAGAGACAATGCTCAAAGGGAACCCCGAGCCTGCACCTGGGCTGGGTAGAGCTGGCCGTCAGTCAGAGGGGAAGGCACATACACTGCCCTCCAGAACTGTTGCATCTGTTTGGGGAGGCAAGACTCAATCTACACAGATGCTATCAGACAAGGCACAGCCAAGCATCTAATGGTACATCCAGAGCTTGATCATTAAGATGCAGAGAGTATCATAGTAGAAGACCAAAGAGAAGAGGCAAGCCTGAGGTCAGGAACAGGCAGATTGGACAGACATGGGACATCACAGGCTGAAAGAGTAGGCATGTGTCACCCTTTGTGCACAGTCTAGCTGAAAAAGACATTGATTATATTTGCACAGCTGAGGAGTTTGGCCTTACTCTGAGTGTGCAGAGATAAGGTCTAAATGGAGGCTGCAGTCATAAGCATGAAAAAGACACGTCAAGTTATAGGGTCTTCCCAAGAAAGGAACACCAGGGCCCTGGCCAGCTTGGCTCAGCGGTTGAGCGTCGGCCTGTGGACCAGGCTCCTGGGTTTGATTCCCACTAGGGGCACAAGAAAGAAAGAAAGGAAGGAAGGAAGGAAGGAAGGAAGGAAGGAAGGAAGGAAGGAAGGAAGGAAGGAAGGGAGAAAGAAAGAAAGAGAGAAAGACCAGGATTGAGCAACTGAATACAGAAAGAGAAGCACGCCAGAAGTCATAAACACTGAGGCCTGGATTCAAGTCAAGAGAGGGGAGCAATGATAAGTGCGGAAAGGCAAGGGAGTGGAGAATTGAGCAAAGACAAGGAAGGGGGGGCTGTGCTAAGAGCAGGTTTGAGGGGGAGAAGAAAGGGGCTAGTTTTAAACAAGTTGCCTTTGGGGTGAATTTGGAAAGCCACGAGACCACACCAAAAGAAGGCAAGGCCCGAGAACCGCTCCCCCCTCTCACTGCACCCCCTCAGGCACCCAGCTCACATGCTCAGCCCGCCCCAGGTCTCCTCCTCTCCAAGGCAGGGCGTGACCTATGGATGGCTCCTCTGTCAGTCTGGCCAGAGAGAGATTGGAAAAGAGAATCTGGGGCTGGTTTCTTTGACTCTCCACAGGACTGCCCCAGAGGGAGCCCCGGAGTTACTGCCCATCAGACACAGCTCGTGAGGGAGGGCCGAGCGGGGAGAGCATGAGGCTGTGCCAGCATGCACATCTCCACACCCCCGCCAAGGAAGCCTCCCAGCACCTGGAGAGTGGTCTGCCAGCTATAAGCTCGCCAGAGTCAGCGCCAGAGTCTGAAATGCTTTGACATGAGGACCCAAAGGCAGGCAGAGGGGCAGCCTCACTGCCCAGGAGGCAAAATTAAAGCCAAAAAGGATGAGGCAAAACTGGCATTGCAGAGGCTCATCAGAGCAAGCTGACCAGTCTCCACCCTACTCCACACCCATAAGCAGTGCTTGCTCCCCTGCAGGACACCTGGGACACTTTTAACTGAAGGATAAGAGAAGGAGCAGGCACCGTGACAGGGAATGCCATGGAACGTGGGCTCAGCTCTGGGTGGGAGCATCGTGGTCAGTGGGACAGTGCCTCAAGTGGCCGTCTGCTTCCTGCCAGGTGGCATGTCCCAAACTTTTCCCACCCTGCACCTGTAGACCCCATTTCTGCTCCCCACAATCCTTTGTGGCCTAGATAAGGCCTCCCTCAGCTCTGGGGTGGGGGTGGGAGGGCGGGGGGGGGGGGGTTGGCTGCCCAAAGCATAGTTGTTACTGGGTTTTGGGGTTGGAGGAACAGATTTGAGTCTTGGTTATAAATGAACAAGGTGGAGTGCTTGGCCCATAACTTTAAAGGGTCATAGTAGTATAACCACATTATATAAAGGAGAAATTAAGGTCCAGAAAAGTCAGTGGATTGGCCCAGGTCACGCAGGTGGTAAGGGACAGAACTGGGATAAAAGCCCAGGCCTATCTGATTCTGTCTGAGCCTATGCTCTTCACCATGACAGATATTTTATGAACCAATAGTTCAAACTCCCCTTAATGGCAAATCTAAAAATCGAATGATAAATGAGTTTTTGTGATGGATTTTTGAAAGCATAATAAAAATAAAGATTAAAAGCAAAAATGTAGCTAACACAAATTTAGAAAAATTATAATTGAAGGCAATATAATTTCTGTGGCAGAAAATTTTGGAGATATTTCTGTTTTAGAAAAATATTTTACCATACTCTTGGAAATAACTTCAACCAGGCATGATAAAGATTATTTCACTTTGTGCAGAATTTTGCAACCACAAGAACTAAGATGATTCATTTGCTAATGATCTCTATAAATAAAATTACTGGTTTCTTAATTATTGGAAAAGTTAACTGGTTTAAAATCATGAACAGCTGAAAACTTCACTGCACTCTGAACTTGAAAAATGATCTCTCCAAATACTTGTCTTTGCTATAGAGACCTGGACTCAGTACAGCACCGCCAACCCTGTTTCCTGTGTTTGTTTTGCACTTTGCAAGATGTAAGATATGCACTAAGAGCCAGAGCAATGAACTAGAGGCTTGCAAAGTTCTGGAGCAATCATATGAAATCCAGTGTGCATTCAGTCCAGTCAGTACACATTATAATATTTTATTAGAGCCTGGCTCTTCGGAAATGTAGGGCCCATATGTGGCGGGGTGGGAACTTCCTGAAGGATGAGAAGGCTCACTGCCCAAATGGAGACAGGCTGAGCAATCACCTTCCATGACAGTTTCGAGGTCAGTTTCCTGGACAGCCAGATGCTAACACTGTCACTGCCTGAGAGCAGAGGCCAAATATGACCAGATTCTCAGCTGCAAAAAATGCACATTCTGCGTTATAATCCTATAGCTAAAGACCCCACCAGTGGAACCCAGAATTCAACTATGTACCACATCCATCTCCAAAAGACAGCAGATATGTCCCTGCCCTTCCTTGGTGCCTTCCTGTCTATAGTGCTCAGTGGTCAGTGATGCCTCACTCTGGTACTTACTTGGTCTTCTTGCTCCCCAATGAGGGTGAAAAATTTTCAAAGGTTCAGGACTCCAGTTGTAGTAGATTAGGGCTACTACATATTTAAATGAAGTATTTATGTTTTTTTTGAGACATCTTAGCCATACAGTTACGTCTAAGTTTCCTAAATAAGATGCTGAGTCAGGAATTTTTAATTGTACAGTTTATGCAAATCATTTTCTAAAATGGATCTCAGTGATGCCAAGACCCTGGATTGAGTCTCTCATCTTTAAAATGAACTTGCATATTCCATGAGAACAGGGACCACACCACATATTTATTTAATCAGTTCAGATTCAGGGATGTGGTATTTAAACCAAGACCTAAAAGACAGCTGAAGACAACTGGGATAAAGATGTGGGGAGCATATTCAAGGCAGAGGGAACATCTGAGAAAAGACCTTGAGGAGCAAGGGAGGGAGAATAGTTAAAGATTTAAAACCAAGCCCAGGTGACCAAAGCAGCAAGCCAGTGGGATGAGGCCGGGAGATGGGCAGACCACACCTGGCCTGAGTGTCAGGAAAGGTCTTGACCTTTCTCCTAGGTGCCACGGGGAGCCAGACATGAAGGGTGAGTGACATGGGCCAATGTCCTGTTTTAACAGATTACTCCCTTCCTGCTGTACGTGGGGACGAAACCTGGGGCGGGGAGTGGAGGCAGGAGTCCAGGTTAGGAGCCAGAGCAATGCCCAGTGGAGAAAAGGTGATGGCAGAGATATGCCACATGCATAAACCTTCCTTCTCAGTGCTTTACCCAGAGAATGCACATGCAGGTAGATTTATTGCAAATGGAGCAAACCAAATAATTCTACTGACGGCTTTTCTTCATAATGGCTGACTCTAGCTCAACAGTCTAGGATTCCTTGATAGGGTAATTCTGTGCATTTCTTTCCCCTTTTAACATGAAAGTGACTAGGTGTTTCACGGAGCAAAATGAAAACCTCGAGATACAGGTATGCTATAGAAACGATTTCAAGATATAAAATTTTTGACTAATAGTTTTGGTATTTCCCATGCTTTCCCCTGCCCCGCCCCCACCATCCAAGACAATCACATGCAGTGAAATATGAAGGGGTGGGTGGCGCTAAAGAAAGCAGAGGTGTCTTAGGATAGACCTGCCCAGGGACTTCCTGGGGTGGGAAGCTATGTATGGGGCAAGAGTTTACGTCCTAGGCTGCCAAAACCCTCAGAGGAATGAAGGTCATCGTGGGAAGGGAAAGTCTGCGTGTTCTGGGGTGGGTGTGGGGTAGGGAACGAAGCAGAAACAGAATCTGCAGTGAGCATCACCAATTCACCCAACCCCCACTCTGGGGAGACAAAGGGTCCTTTGCAGAGCGAAGGTTCTGGCCCACCACCTTTAAGGAAGTCTGGGGGTGTTTCTGGCCTGCCCAACCGAGAGAATGTCTCCAGTCTTATCCGTTCTTTCCAACTCCCGCAATGGCAACCGCGGCGGTGGGTTTCTCCCTTTCCCTAGCCCAGATCTCAAAGGGTCATTGCCCCAGACTCCAGATCCCAGCCATCCGCGCAAGGCACCACGGGGTGAGGAGAGTGTAGACCTTGGTCTCTCCACTCAG